GGCCCCCCCCCCCCCCCCCCCCCCCCGGCCCGGCCAACATTTTCACGGGAACATCTCGTGAAAGCCGGCTAGGCCACCGAACCATCTTCGGAAACGATTTCCCTACCATACCGACCGTACAACTGTACCCATCCTCTCTGCATATGTACGTCTTGCTCTTAGTCGCCCAAGTCATTTTGACCATTGGCGACGCATCCACGCACCCCTTTTGGGAGACGGACCGGCATTTCCTACTCCCGTGGGACAAACTGCTGTAAACATTCTGGCCGTACGTACCATTTCTACCACGATATCATACACTTTACAGCGGAAAAACCCCAGCCAACCATTCCCATAATACACTCTGGGCGCGATTTTGCGGCCAACAGAGAGCGCACGCAGTCGGGGGGAAACACTTTCCGCTGCCTGCAAACAAACGAAAGCTATCAGGACCGGGTGTCCCTGAAACAAATATGGTTAACATTGGAAGAACAAACAAAACAATTACGCGCAGCCATCCATCCCAATGCCGCCGCCCCCACCGCACGCGCTGTAGCTGCCGGGGCTACGGTTTCGGCTTTTTTGGACATGGAACCCCACTACGATAGAAGTACTAAATTAAAGAAAAGCGTGTACATAGAACCTCGAACACCACGAACGAATAGATAGACAGGTAAGCAAACACGGCACGTGCGGAACGCAAGACAAGCCGCAAAAAACTTGGGGGGGGATTAATTGTGTATCACACGTCGGAGTAGACATACGACCGCTTCGAGGAAGGCCGAACCGCGCTCTTGTTGTTTGGTGACGGCAGCAATTCCGCGTGTTCGTCGCAAGTGGCGCACGGGAAATGACATCCGATGGTGGCAGAACACCAACCAACCAGGAGAGACACAAAAAACAGCACGGCGATCGTGCTACAGTACGAATCAACAAGGCCCTATCCTAGCTATAGCTGTCTCCTTTTCTCTCTCATTTTCCTTTACACTCGCTTTTACATGGAAAACCGTGTCACGAAAACACAAAAAGACCCGGCGAGACAAACACCCACAAACCAGGGGACAAACACCCCCCCCCGCCCCCCAACCCCCGCCCGAACACTTGTCGGGGTAAATCACCCACCGATCACTTGGAAAGACGAAACCTAACCCACAGGAAGGGAATAAACATGGCGACAGCGCCAAGAGTTCATCCTCATATATTTGTTCCTTTCTTATCACCTAGCCTCTAGCCTCCTGTCGTTGCCGACAATCCACCACACATACCCCTCCCCCCCCACTCAACCCACCCTAAAAATCGCATCCTTCACTCCCATATCCCCC